GGGTTATTGGTGGGAGCCAGGCCAGGCCTGCAAGGAGACAGGGCTTTGTTCCATACCCTCCGCCAGATCAGGTTGGGCAAATCAATAGGCGGTTTCTGCTGCCGCTTTCAAGAGGCACTGCCAAAGCTGGGGGGAATGGGGGTGGGAGGGGAATGGAGACCTCTTGGCTTGTGGGCCTGGCTCAGCTCCCAAGTTTGATTTCCCAGTATCAAACTAAGAGTCTGTGCTGCATATTTGCTGCACGGGGAATATTTAATCATTTGTGGTGTGCCTCCTGCAGCATCTCAAACTGCTTTAAGATACTGCAACAGGCATGTGTTCACTTGTGTGGACATGGCCAGTATGTACAAGTTAGGCACATTAGGAAATTAGGTGGCATGGCTGGTTTAGTATGGCTCCAAGCACAGTCAGAGCTGTTCTCAGACTTGTTATCTCATGCATGCTTTTCAGCAAATGTTCAGAGCTGCTCTAAGCTAACTCTACTGCTGAGTTTCTGGGTTTTGGATAGCGTGACCACATGCCCCAATTTCGTTGGGATAGTCCCGGATTTCGGTGGCCAGTGAATATTAAAATTCACATCCCAGGTGCAAAGTGGGGAGGTAGAGCAGCACAAGCTGTAAAATGGGAAGCTGTAGAAAACAGCAAAATTGAGCTACAATAGGCTAGCTTGATTAATGGAATGACCATAACAAAGGGGAGATGACTGTTAACATGTGTGAAGTAAAGAACTATTGGTCATTAACAGGCCATTGACCCCCTTAGCTGCCTGAATAGTAATACCAGAGCTGCACCACTCTACCCTGCCAACGTCTCTCCCTGCAGCAGCAGAGCTGACTTCAAAGCAGGGACGGGGGACAGTATCCTATTTCACATTGTTCCATGTCATCATCTTAGTTTTGGAGTATACTGCCTACTGAATGGGGTATGTGTTTTTTTGGGAAATGCTCCCCCATACACCATGGGAGCAGTGTGGACATATGTGAACATCCTGGACTGTCTGATTTCTCTGGAAAGGTGGTTCATTATTGTCCACAGTTATAAAAATAGCTTGCAAATGTTGTTTAATTTGTTAATTATAGATTAGTTAAATGAGGGATGGTGAAATTATTTGCTCAAAGTAGTTAATTGAGGGATGGTGATTTACTCAAAGTCAGAATATCAGTGCCTGAGTTGAGTGCTAACTTGGTCTAGCAGCTCTTGATTCAAAATATCTTGGTTCCAGCTGGAGCTTCTCTTAAAATACAGGTCTAACTACCAAAACACTAAGAACATTAGGAAACCTGCTGAAAGAGACCGTTGTGTTGTGATAAACCAAGTGCTGTACCAATCAAACAATTATCCTTCATTGCTTCAGATGTAATGTTAACTGGGTTGGAGTAAACTTAGTGGAAAAACTCTTCTTTAATTGACATTTGCAAATCAAAGACAATGGGTCTAAAATATTACTTGTTTTCCAGGGAGCTAGATGAGAATAATAAAAAGAACAATTAACATTAGAGACCTGGGACACTTTTCTTGTTCTGAGAAATTTAAATACAGTACACAGTAAATTAGATCTGATTTCTGGCAAATTATGCTTTGATACTGCATTCAGCAAGCGCTAGCTTCAATCAATGTCATGCTAAAGCTCTGTTATGCTAATAGCTGCTTGTGAGGGTGAGTTGGATGATATGGAAATCAGATGGTTGAACATGAATAGAAAGCACAGGCCATGTACGAGGTGGGCTTTGAGATGAGGGGATGGGGGACCCTAAGGTTAATCACATCATGTTCAGAGTTGTTTTTACAGCACAGGATGGTATTCTACAGTGAGAATTAAAATGGAGATAGTGAAGCCGCAGTTGTGAGCATTAGCATGTTGCTCAAGATGGTCGCAGTGGCATTCTGTTGCACTCTGTCTTTCAGCATGTCATTTCATGCCTGAGTGAATAGATATTTTATGCCATATTAATTAACGCATATAAAGTTATCCTGTACTTATGTGTTAAAGAATCCTAAAAAGGGGGAGAATTGAATATTGCAGAGTACAGCAAAGGAATTCCTCAGCACTTCTCCTATTCTATTAAGTAGCAGAATGAATCTATTGGGATATATTACAAGCCATTTATTTCTCTGCCCACTGGTGTTACTGAATACTAAGGGTATGCTGAGTCACAAGGGGCTTATAAAGTCTCAGCTGTAGAAAAGCTTGATTGAATCAGTTCATTCCTCCCAGCTGAACTCTAGTCAGCTGATAAGAAATGTGGGAGAAGATGAATCAGAGTGGAGGGAGAATATTACCAAAGTAAAACGTATGGCTTTATAGTAAAAACTGCAGCAACTCAATACAAAATAATAGCAAAATTACCTTTTTTTCCCAGACTGGTCCTAAGAAGCACCATGAATTTGCAATTCCTGCTGAAATCAGTGATCCTAAGGGAACTGTATTATAAGCTCCTAATGAACCGATTCCCCAAACTAGCTGCCCTACAGTGCGTATACATACTATGTACTGTGATATTAATGAAAAATAGATACTATAGTAAAATATACTATAAAACTGCTATTGGAAACTGAAACTGAAATACAGTCAAGAGGAAATGGTATGGATGTTTTTCTTTTAATTTCTAGTTGTCTACTAAAAGCAACTATGAGACCAAAACCATTTTATATATGCTGTATAATTTTTAGATGATGATGTTTACTAATCTTTTAATTACATACATTTTGATTTTAAAAATGTACTATACTGTGTCATATAGATCCTCATTTAAAGTCCACTGAAGTCAACATGAAGCCTCCCACTGACTCCAGTGCACTTTGATCAGGCCCATAATAAAATTTCATTTATAACACAAAATGCGACACCAATAAATGTAAAAGGGCTAATATAAAACCATCATTGCACGGCTTACTATTTGTAGATATAATTTAAATTACTGATTTGATAATATCTAAAAATTGGGGTTCATTTGAAAAACTTTAATGATTTATTAAAACATTTACCTCAAAGGAAATGGTGAATTAGTTGAGATCTTTTAATTCACAATTGAACATGTGTGCTTTTGGGCTGAAATATCTAAAACCAATACATTCTGAAAGCCTTTTGAATTCACATTTCATTAATATATGGTCTGCCATCAACAAATAACTTGAGAGTTTAATTGTTAAAATATTTTCATCTAAGAGCTCTGCTGTTCTCATAACCCATACAATGTAGGTCACATGCTTGGCCTTTGTATACCAGTGAAACTGCCATTATTAAGTAGGTTGGCCACAGACTTACCATTCTGCTAGGTTACAGTAAGTGTGGTGATGCTTTACTAGGTAGTAGACTGATTTGCTATGCAGGAGAACATCACCATTTACACATGTGCAGCAATTAGGCTAATGTAGACTAATTTACTGTGCCATT